CAAAAACCAAGAGTTCACTGGTTCGATTCCTGGTCAGGACACATGCCTGGGTTATGGGCTTGATCCCCAGTAGGGGGCATGCAGGAGGCAGCTGATCAATGATTCTCTCTCACCATTGATGTTTTATCTCTTTCTCCCTTTCCCTTCCTCTCTGAAATCAATAGAAAAAATAAATAAATAAATACTCATAGTACTCCATCATGGTAATAAAATGTAACCATTAAAAATTATGCCAAAGGTATTTATTTATTGGCAAACAAAGATATTGATATTATTCAGTGAAAAAAATAAAGCACGTTATTATAAGACTCACCCCCTCCCCATTTTGTTATATATGTCTATAGATGCAAAGAAAAAAAATCCATGGATATTCACTATGGTTTAATATCTATTATTTTTATATGGTGGGATCATGAATGTCATTTATTTGTTTGTTTCTCTATATTTTCTAATTTTCCTACAATTAAAGAGAAGTGAGTTGTTGTTTTTGTTTTTAACTCAGGAGTAAGGGTGTCCTCCAAAATGAAGAAATATATCAGATCATTCTGAGCCAGTCTAAGTCCTATTTTGCTCACAGGCAGAATAAATGATTATATGATCTTCAATTTGCTTTCTTTCTCAGTACTCCAGATGTAATTTACGTTTTTCTCCTAGACAACTGTGTCTTACTGCTGATTTGTTTATCCTTTTCATTTACATCACCTGCCTTGACAAAAGAAATCACCAGATACAGGCTTGGACTTGTCTATTATTCCCATACAGCTATATTATTTATGTGTACCAAGCACCCCTGCTAATATCTGCCTTCTAATTTTCATCAAAAACTCTGTTTCTCAGGACGCTTCTCCTCTATTCTCCACCCCGCTCCACAGCTGCAGGGTGTCGATGGGCACTCAAAATCACAGGGTGAATATGCTGTCCGTCCTGGAGCATCAATTTCACTCATATCTGAAAATAAGATATTATTAGAGTAAAGCCAGCCATTACATTATGTAGTCAAATAGAAAATTCCCATAACTTAAAAACTAAAGTGGGTAACTTCAAACAATTGAAAGCTCATAAGGCTTAAGGCAGGCCTTTCCACTCTAGCTCTTGCTTTTCTGGAAGCATAAGTTCCTCTCTTATTGACCTTCAAGGATTCACCAATGGAAAAGTTTGAGAAGCAGGGATCTAAGACTCTCGCCCCTTTCGTTGCTCCTCTACTAGCTACTAATTCTTTCATATGTTTTCAAATGAGCCTTCACCCTCAGGAGTGTCTACTCAGAAAAATGCCCTTCACACAGCCATCTTCTGCTCAGAACTGTACATCTTATACAGTATGATTTACAATTCTTTTAAATGTTGGCATTTGAAACATTTGAAACATGCATAACTCAAAATACAAAAGTTAAAAAGGAAGAAATGGTTATGGCCACAATTTAAAGGCCAATCAATTCTCTACACAAAGTGAGCCCTGGAGGTAGCCCAATTAAACGCTATGGTCACTACCAGAGACCAGCTTCTTTCAGGATCAATTCAAAATGTATAAAGCCTTAAACTATATACATTGAAAAAAATGAAACCCAATAGAATAAAGATACAGAAAGGAAAAATCTTGGCAAAATTATTTAAGATTAAACTATTTTAAACTTGCTGTCATTTAGAGAGACAAAAAAATAAATAAATCCAGTGCCCTAAGTCAGTTTTAGTGTGTACACAAAAGTACATTTCCCTTAAGGCCATGCAAATTGCTTGTAATGAAAACAGTTTCAATTATAAAAATTAATTTAAAATAATGGGAGTGAGTAACCAAAGAACATATATGCATAAATGCATAACCTATGAACACAGACAATAATGTGAGGAAGGCCTGGGGTGCGGTGGGGGCTGGGTAGTGGGGGTCTAAAGGGATGGGATGGGGGACATCTGTAGCACTCTCAACAAATAATACATGAATGAATGATGATGAGTGAATAAATAAATGGAGGCTAAATAAATGGAGGCTGGAGATCCAAGATGGCGATGAATCAGGTGGAAGTTACACTCACCTCCCAGGACCAAACTGGAATTACAACTAAAGTATAGAAAGATCATCCTGAATAACCAAGTGAAGACTAGCTGGAGAGAAACCTATAACCAAGGACTTGCACAGGAGGCCTCATCAAGGCTAGTAGGAAGTGTGGAGGCACAAGAAGGCTGGCCAGGCTGAAGTTCTGGAGGAATAGCTCAGCTGTGGGTTTTTCCCCCTGAGAAGCCTGGGGTCTAGACCCCAAGGCGGTTTCCCCAGCCCAAAGCACCAAAACTAGGAAAGGTGACTACATAAAATCTGACTGTGAAAAGCAGAGGGATTTCTGTCTGCCTCTTAAAGGGCCAATACACAACATTTTGTTTGCAGCCATTCACACTGGGCTTCAGGACTAGAGCTACATGAAGAGAGTCTGGGGTTGGTGGCTCTGGGGTGAGAGCTGAGAGATCAGTGACCAGTATCCCTGTGCTGAGTCATTCCCCGATCCTGCAGAAGCCATCTTCCTTAGGCAGAGCATTCCCCTCTATGCAGCATCAGCCTCAGGGGGAAGCAACAGTCCCACCCATTGGGAATCCAAGTTGTCCCACCTTGTGGAGCTTAAGTCCTGCTGAGGAGTACAGCCAAAGGATCTTTACGTGATGGAACCTAAGAGACAGCCTGCAGGCAGAGGCAGATCTCTGGGTGCTTTGAAACATTTGCTGACCTTCCCCTGGGCTCTGGTGCTAGTAAAAGCAGGCCTTGGTGCACAGCTTGTTCCTTTCCACATGCACCAGGCCCAGTAGAAGGAGCCACAAGCTGTGGATCCAAACAGGTTCCCAGGGTCAGTCACAAACAGTGTCTGACATTGGTCTGCACCAGAGTCTCTCCAAAGAGTCCCCAAACCAATACCCAGTGGTCAGCTCTGGAAAACAACAGAGCAGGATCCAATAAGCTTCACAAGAAGCATTTCCACAGGGAGTTCTCGGCAGGCACTAGACCTTGCTGAGGCAAATTTCACTTCATGTGATCAACTCCTGCACAGCAGCTTGCATGTTGTGTTGGGGGTTGAGTCTCACTGTCACCCATGCACAAATGGGCCAATAGCAATCACGACTCAATTACAACAGGAAAGCCCACATAACGCATTCAAGGGACATTCTTAAAGCCCTGAGCTCAGGTGATTAGGGTGACTACGCCACTGGGTCCCACAGGTCACCTATTATACAGGGCCACCCACAGGGCCACCCTACCAAAACTGAGAGCCATAGCAGATCTACCTAATACAAAGAAACAAACAAAAAGAGGCAGCCAAAATGAGGAGACAAAGAAACAGGCCCCAAATGCAGGAACAAGAGAATTCTCCAGATGAAGAACTAAATAAAGTGAATATAAGCAATCTATCAGCTATAGAGTTCAGAGTAATGATTATACGGATGCTCAACAGCATTAAAAAGGACCAATCCTGCCTGGCCAGCGTGGGCAGTAGACAGCAGGGGAGCAAGGATAGGAAAGGGAGCTACTTGTTTTAAAGTTTGCAGTTTTTACAAGCTCCCTATGTGATTCTCATGCGTAGTAAAACTTAAGAACTGGTACCTTACATTATCTAAGCAGTTGAGACAAAAATTGATTATGTGATCTGGTTATTTCATAATCACTAACCCGCTGCTTCATTTTGCCTGTGGAGAAACAAGGGTTTAACCCATAAAAACCTGTCAAGTCTGCCATGCAATCTCCAAACTTCAGAAATTGCTTCAGAAAGAGGACTGCAGAGAGATACCCCTGGGAGAGCTCCCCACAGAGAAGGCAAGGAGAGCTTATGCAATCACGCAGCAGCAGTGGACTGAAAGGTCACAGAGCATGTGCTCCATACATATAAGCTTCAGGATTCAGCTAAAATAGAGCATATGAGCAGAGAATTTTCTAATTTTTTAAGACAACTCTCTAAATTTTCTTTTTAAATGGTAGTCAGCATGTGTGTCATGTTTTAAATATATATACGTATATTCTAAATTTTTATTAAAATACATTCTAAATATATGTCAAAATACAATTTATGATTACTACTATTTTTTTAACCCTCACCCAAGGATATGTTTTTATTGATTTAAAGAGAGAGGAAGGGAGAGGGAGAAGGAGAAACATCGATATGAGAGAGACACATCAATTGGTTGCCTCCTGTATGCACCCCAAGCAGGATCGAACCCGCAACCTGGGTATATGCCCTCATTGGGAATTGAACCTGCGATCCTTCGGTGCACAGGACAATGCTCTAACCTACTGAGCAACTCTGGACCATAATTACTACTTTTTAAATATACTTACAAAAATTTATATTCACAAAATATTAATAATTCTGAGTTTCTTAATGATAACAATTAGCATTTGTGTAGCACGTCATAACTGAAATAACAATGAAACCCAGTTCCATGAACGACACATAAAAATGTCTTCCTACTTTATAGTCACACTAAACACATCACTATATGTAACTAGTTCATAATCTACTCAAAAACAGGACTATCTTCTGTCTATTTTTCTGTTTCTTTTACATGCCTCTTTTACACACCTTCTCCGAAGTCTGTACACCATAGGCGCACAAGGTAAATGCTTAGCTGGCCATTGACTAACCAATCTAGAGTAATGCAACACTGAGAATTCATTATCAGATAGTCGTTTCTCTCTTTATGTGACTTCTGTGGCTCCATCAAAAACAAAATTTAAAAATTCCAAGAAGATAAGACTTTGTAACTGAGTCATACATATCTTAAAGTGGATTTATTGGATCAATGTATTATTTTTCACAAGAACATCTACATCCTGCTGCTATTTTCCCTCAGGACAATTTCTCTAAGGTATTTCATCATTAAGGCCTAATTTAGCATGTATTTATACAAAGAAACATAATGAATTGAATTTTTAAAAAGCACTCATTAACAGTATGATTTCTTACCCAGGTACAGGTTATTCTTTTCAACAGAGTACAGGTAATTGGCTACAAATAATGGGTACTGATTACCTTCTTGAGTGGAAGAAACCTCTAGGTGTTGAAGTTTAAGGCCAGTGTCTAACCTTTGAGGCTTTGTATGCAGAAATAGATAGCAAAGGACACAGACGCTGATGACAAAGGCAAGTAAAACAAGGGCAGCAATTCCCAATCCAATCAGGGCACCGATGCTGAGGAAAACAGAGAAAACATTGTGAGTGTCACACAGACCAGTTTGCACAGGAACTAAAGAGGAGGTTTAAATACTGTTAGTTCTTGCTTCAGTTACTCATAATCAAATTATATTTTAGGATAAATAATAGTAGTATATGATTGCAATCTACAGCTCTCCTTTCTCTACCATGAAATTCTTACCATATTTTCTCTATACATGTATCTTATCTAATAAAAGAGAAACATGCAAATTGACCGTACCTCTGCTACACACACAAGCCATGCCCATAAGCCACGCCCACCAGCCAATCAGGAGCGAGTATGCAAATAAACCCAACCAAGATGGCGGTGGCCACAGAGCTGGAGCAAACAGGAGGCTTGGGTAGCCCCTGGCAATGGAGGAAGCCAAGCTTCCCACCTGCCCTGGCCGGCTGTGGACTCCGCTCAAGGCTACAAAGTTTCAATTATAGAAGATAAATAAATCCAGCCACTGTGGCCTCTGCTCAAGGAGGGTCTGGGAGCCTGGGTTTCTCGGGGCCATGGCCATCCTGCTTCCAGCCACTGTGGCCTCTGCTCAAGGAGGGTCTGGGAGCCTGGGTTTCTCAGGGCCATGGCCAGCCTGCAAACAGCCCTCAGCCCCTCACCCAGGCTGGCCAGGCACCCCAGCGGGACCTCCACCCTGAAGGGTGTGTGGCCAGCCTGCAAACAGCCCTCAGCCCCTCATCCAGGCTGGCCATGCCCCCCCAGCGAGGACCCTCACTCCATTGGGGCATGGCTGGCCTGCAAACCACCACAGGCCCCTCACCCAGGCTGCCCCACACCCCAAGGGAACCCCCACCCTGATCCGGGACACCCTTCAGGGCAAACCAGCCTGCCCCCACTCGTGCACCAGGCCTCTATACTAATAAAAGGGTAATATGCTAATTAGACTGGGAGACCTTCTAGGAGACCTTCCAGATGTTCTTCTGGACAAAGCCATGGTAGCGGGGCCGAGGTAGAGGCGGTTAAAGGCCAAGAGGGGAAGGCAGTTGTGGATGATCAGGCTGGTTGGGGGTGGGGCTATTGGGGGTAAGCAGAACAGCAGGGGGGCCAGTTGGGGCAAGCAGGCCATCAGTGGGGGTCAGTTGGAGGTGATCAGGCCAGTGGGGAGGGAAGATGGGGGTGATCAGGCCAGCAGGAGGGCAATTCGGGGGTGATCAGCCTGGCGGGGGGGCATTTGGGGGCAAGCAGGCCGGCGGTGGGGGGCAGTTGGGGCCGAGCAGGCCAGCAGGAAGAGTGGTTAGGGGCAATCAGGCAGGTAGGCAGGCAGGTGAGCGGTTAGGATCCAGCAGTCCCGGATTGCGAGAGGGATGTCCGACTGCCAGTTTAGGCCCGATCCCTGTAAACCGGCCGTAGGACATCCTTCGAGGGGTCCCAGATTGGAGAGGGTTGAGGAACACCCCCTCCCCCATGCACGAATTTCATGCACCGGGCCACTAGTCTGTTAATATTAGTATAGAATATCATGTGAATTCATATTATAGGTAAAAGGTTACATGATTCCCTAGAGATAGTTCAGAAACATCTCAATCATGACTCTGTTATTAATATATTCCAGAAGCAAAGATCAGGCTTACCAATAAAAGATGACTATAAAAACATTTGCCCCCCCCCCCACCCCGACCGGTTTGGCTCAGTGGATGGAGCGTTGGCCTGCGGACTGAAGGGTCTCAGGTTCGATTCCGGTCAAGGGCATGTACCTGGGTTGCGGGCCCATCCCCAGTACGGGGTGTGCAGGAGGCAGCTGATCTATGTCTCTCTCTCATTGATGTTTCTGGCTCTCTATCCCTCTCCCTTCCTCTCTGTAAAAAAATCAAATTATATATATATATATATATATATATATAATCTCAAACAAACAAACAAACAAAAACAAACATTTGCCTCCACATAAGTACTGAAACAAATGTTTACCAGAAATGCAGAACTTTTCTTTTGGAGGTATGTGTGGGAGATATTGTTTACTATTATACAAAACCACAACTATCACAAAAGAGGAGAAGAAGGTTTAAATAAAGGAAAGCAATAGTTATGAAATTTACATAAAGTTCCTGTTCAGTATGAGTTTTTCCTTTCTAAAAGAGCATAATACCAATGGCTTCTAGCATTAAGGAAGAAACCCTTGCACTTTCCTGTAAAAATAAAGTGTATATCTGGTAATATTTGCTCTACACTAAATCTGTAATAATTCCTTCTGATACAATTATCTATACGACTAATCAGATGAGAACTAACATAGTTTGCATAAACCTGTGAACTTAATGCTTTTAAATGGGAGATGGAGCTTGAAGAAAAAGGACTGAAAGACTAATGCAAATATATGTACCTTCATGAACCATATGTATGTGTGGGTGTGTAAATACATAATTAGGTTTTAAACTGCTCAAGGGCAGATACTTCTGTTGACTTTCCTATGGTGTTTTGCACAATTATTAAAAGTGTTTACATAATCCTTAGCTTGTAATAAATGTTCCATAAGTGGAAGTAAATAATAATTTACTGGTAATGGGTCTACTTGTAGTAATTAAAAATTCATCATTATTGAAAAGTAATAAACTTTTCCTTCATTGTCTTCCTGGCTTGCCTGTAGGCTTCTGCTATTTCCCAGATATTAGGGCCTTGACAAGTTTGACATGTACCAAAAGGGAGGGAAGGGAGAATCTGAGTAGCGATGCTAGGTATGCCACTGCCTTGGGAGTAAGGAGAACAGAATTAAAAGTAAGGGGCTAAGCTCATCTAATTTAACCTTGTTTTTAGGAGATAAATCACCCCTGTAAGTTAGAGGTTGCCTCCTGAGCCACAGGCATGGAAATTCTTATGCTTGATATATTCATGTCAGCCCACTTCCCCTAGCCTTGCACACAAGTGAAGAGTGAGTAATTCTGTGACAAGAATTATAGTTATATAGTTACATTGGAGTTTGCACTCACTTGGTGCACTCCAAGGGGTAGACTCCTGGCTTTGGCAACTCCTCTTTCCTGCTTGTTTGCCCCAAAGATGACTTTTGTAGATTATACAGGTCAAGGAGGGTGAGGACTCTACACAGGTACATGGGAACATAACCCATTTCATTAATATTATCTGTTGCTCAAGGCAGCTGGGAGGCCAGACATCTGGCAAGATTCCTGAAGTGAGAGCCTGGTTATTAAAAAAATAAAATCTCATTTAAAAAACCCCACATAATTTAGTCAATTTTAAAGTAAAATTGTCAACTTAGTTGAATTCAACATTCATATAGTGGGCTTTTAATGTACACAATTTAAAAAACCAGTCCACATGAAGAAAAACAAAAACAGAGTATGCTGTTTCTGCTTTCTGTTTTGTTTTTTAAAATTTTTTTTTATTGATTTCAGAGAGGAAGGAAGAGGGAGAGATAGAAACATCAATGATGAGAGAGAATCATTGATTGACTGCCTCCTGCATGCCCCACATTGGGGATCAAGCCCACAACCCTGGCATATGCCCTGACTAGGAATTGAACCGTGACCTCCTGGTTCATAGGTCAGTGCTCAACTACTGAGCCAGGCCGGCTGGGCTCTATTTTCTGTTTTTTGTTTGTTTTTTAAAAAATATATTTTATTGATTTTTTACAGAGAGGAAGGAAGAGTGATAGAGAGTTAGAAACATTGATGAGAGGGAAACATTGATCAGCTGCCTCCTGCACACTCCCTACTGGGGATGTGCCCATAACCAAGGTACATGCTCTTGACCGGAATTGAACCTGGGAACTTTGAGTCCGCAGGCCGTCGCTCTAGCCACTGAACCAAACCTGTTAGGTCTCTATTTTTTGTTTTAAAAAGAGGTCTTCCCAATCTTGACACACTATTTCAATGTCACAGTTCTACTTTACAGAAATATTGCTCTATGCATGCTAACCTAGATGGAGCTCTGGGAATCTCCTAAGATATTCATTTCAACACATACTTATTGAACTCATGCATAGCCCTATGCAACAGGCATTATTTTCCTAGGTCCTGAAGAAGACTACCAAAGAGGTTAGGGATCTATAAGAGGAGAAAAGATGGAAGTGGGCTAGACACAGAAAAGGGAGACTTATTCTTCCTTACAGCACCATCTGGCAGTCCCTGAGAGAAGGTCTGCAGCTGTCATCATGTTAATGAGCAATTCTCCTACTCAGCAACTTTACTTACCTGGTAGTAGCTATACCTGTGCCTTTCTCCAGTAGCTGCAGAATCTCAGAACAAATGGTAGTGACTTCTGGAATATTTTTCACAATTGAACTATGTTAAATTAGGGGTTGAGCTCTCCAGTGTGTCCTCAGAGCTCAATAACTAACAAGACCCCCCAGGTTTAACATTGCCAACTGAGGCCATCAGCTGGAAACATTTTTATAATTCCCAGGAACTGAGGTGCACTGTCCACTTTGTCAGTGCTGAACGAAGACGCCAGCAAACTGTTCAATCCTTTTGTGCCCTCATAAACCTAGGACAGGTTTCAACCTCTGCTGCTTGTCACTTTGCAGTGAGCTAGGCACTTTGCAGGCACTTTGGGGATTTAAGTCTAACAACTGAGTTTGCCTTATGACTTGCCAACCTCTATTGCTACCATTATTAACATCTCCAAAGTCTCAGAGCTGGGTTATTACATTATTTTCCAAAAGGCCAAATAATATGCCAGTGCCATATACAATGCTTCTCCAAATAATAAGGATAAGCTTTCATTATATTTTTGAGATTTTGCCCCACTCTGACACATCACAATTTTGTTAGTTGAACTCATTGGTAAGTGGGCACTCCTTTGCATATTTTTTGAAGCTTGCAACACATTAAAAAATTATTTTACTGCTTCAGGAAATAACACTTAAAGTCATTTGTTGTAGATTTGGCATGCCTGCCAAATTCTGGATCATCCTAGGAGATTGAGAGAAATAATACAGGATGGGGCAAAAGTAGGTTTACAGTTGTTTGTATGGAAAATAATACAATTAATAAATAATAATACAAGAATATTCAAAACTGTAAACATATCTTTAATGAAATAAAATTGTACTTTTATGTTCAAAATGCTTATCTTTAAACTTAACTGAAATTTAAAATTATCTTTTTGCCAATAAAGTTAACATCCAAAACTGTTAAATTCAATATTAAGAGTTTATAACAAAAATTGAGATAATGTGGTCTTAGCTGATGTTTGAATAGTACTACATACACTATGCATCAGCATATATTATTTTTATCAGTTCATATTCTCCCAAGACCTTGAAATACAAAAGTAGCCATTGCATTTTTTCCTATGTTCCAGTACAAGATTTCAGTTTTTAGAATTCATAAACTCAAAATTATTTACACAGATTTAGGGTTTTTTTCTTGTTCATGTCTGAAGAGCTTCTTTTTCTAAGAAAATTTACATTTTATAATCTTTCCCTTGAAATGGAATTTCCTGAGTTATATATGCATCTTATACATTCTTTAAAGTTATTTTAAAATGTCATAAATCAGTCATATACATATAACCATAGCACACATCCTTGGTATTCACGTCCTTTTTTTTTTTTCTTAATCCTCACCTGAGGATTTGTTTTCATTGATTTTAGAGAAAAGGAGAGAGAGAGATAAGAGAGAAACATTGATGGGTTGCCTCCCATATACTCCCCTACCAGGGATCGCATCCGCAACCTCCTGGTTTACAAGATGATGCTCCAACCAACTGAACCCCCTGGCCAAAGCCACATACTTCTTAAAGCAAGATTCCAATTTATTTGTGCTTTGTATGTTTACATTACTTTAGCGCCTATTGTTAATTTTCAGTAAAACTCTATATAAAGATTTCTAAGATATTTAATAAATGAAGCAGAACAGTCATTATGAAAATATAAACTGCTATTATAGCTTTTTATCTTTTATGTTTATGTGTTTTCTGTGAACCTTGTAATTTCCTGTTCTTTATAGAAGTTGACAAATTTTTATCTTTGTAATCTCAACACTGCTGCTTTCCCAGTTTGTCATAATGGCGTGTCACAGGTTTTCTGAACACACAATATTTACTGTGTGATAGCAGCTATAGCAGTGGAATCTGATAATGCTGGTGATAGTCATCTTTTCCAGTTATTTCAAATGCAGGATGACCTTATTAGTTGCTGCCAAGAAATTTCCAGATTCTGCAGCTCTTCTTTACTCCTTCCAACTGAATACGATTTGACTTCACCGTTTTCTTTTACATGTAGATGAAGGTTGGAAAGTGGCATTCGTAATGTAGCAATTTTGTCTATAGAAAGTGCAAGCTTTAACTGCCAATCAAAATCCTGTAGCTGTGTAGAGGAAATACCAACTATTTCCCCTGACAGGGCCTGCTTAATTTTATCTTTCATGCTTTTCAAGCATTTCATGATCGCTTCTTGATGAAATGAATCCAACTTATTCAATTGCTGAGATTTTTTTATCAGATAAACTTTTATCAACTACAGCTTCTTTTTTTTTTTTGGCTAGACTGAGATTATTTACTAAAACTATTGAAATACATACATAAACTATGCTTAACTGGCTACCAAGATATACATGCAGTTCTACTTCTGTTTTGTAAAAGAAGTTAGTAAATGTGCAGCAGTAATGGTACACATTTTCTACAAAAGTTCCAAATGCTTAGACATGACCCGTGACATGACACAAAGTTGGATACTGTGACTCCCAGGTAGCCAATAGACATCGGACATGGAATGCAAACAAAATATTTCAGTGAATCCCTGTGAAAGGATACACAGGCCAACACTTAGCCCTAAAACTTAGCGGTTCTGCTGGTCAGGTGATACAAAAGCTAGAAGATAGTCATCTGAAGTCTCCCAGGCCTCTCACCCAACTACAGCTTTGAAAAACGCGACAATATAGAACATGCATCCGTGCTGTGGAATCCCAAACACTCTGATAATCCTGCTGGAGAGGATAAGTTGGGCCACAAATGCCATCAATTATTTTGTGAGGAAGCCGCAGGCCCAGAAGCTTCTGCAGTGACCACAAGGGTGTCCTCTCCTCCAGATCCATCCTTGGCTGTATCCCCCACCCCCATTCTCTCTCTCAGCAATCTCTCTCTCTCTCTCTCTCTCTCTCTCTCTCTCTCTCTCTCTCTCCCTCCCTCCCTCCCTCCCTCTCTCAGCAATTTAAGGTGGGTGGGAGTTCTTTCCTATAATCCTGACACCCCATTCATTCTCCAGGCCAAAGGAAGGAACCAAGTTCAAAGTATGCAACCTTTGGAGTGGAAGAGGAGGAAAGCGCTTCATAATTTAAAATATCCGCGTAGATACTAGTTGGAATGAGTAAAATTCCCATCACAGGAAAAAGAGGCAAGAAAGAGCCCACCTGAGAAAGCCTCTTCAGCAATGGCCACCCCGTTTAGAAAGAGGGTGTCCTGGGAAGGTTCTACAGAGTGTGAAATCATAGCACCTCAAACTGTACCTCTGTGGGTGTCCAGTTCGGTTCGGGATGTGTCAGACTTGCTCGCACGCCCGCACGTACACCCCTACCTTTTTGATAAAGAATACA